CCCTTGGTTTAAAGTGCAGAGACATTATTTATTATGTGGTTATCTCTGTCGTAACCTTACTTTTAGCCCTTGGTTTAAAGTGCAGAGACATTATTTATTATGTGGTTATCTCTGTCGTAACCTTACTTTTAGCCCTTGGTTTAAAGCTTAGAGACATTATTTATTATGTGGTTATCTCTGTCGTAACCTTATTTTTAGCCCTTGGTTTAAAGCTTAGAGACATTATTTATTATGTGGTTATCTCTGTCGTAACCTTATTTTTAGCCCTTGGTTTCAAGCTTAGAGACATTATTTATTAATCGAAAATTTTTCTAATTTCATTTCAAAATTTCCAATGTTAATCTTTGACATTTAGGTTCTCGAGAAAAAATAAATTTAATAAAAACTAAGTAATTAGCTGGTTGATAATAAGCATGAAGCTACTTAATAGGCTATCTGTGCTCTGCACACCACGGGTATCGAAACTAGATTTTTAGTGACTTAAGCATGTTAACTTAATTCTGAGCCAATGTGTGTGTGTGGGTGGGGGGGGGTGTATTATTTTATTCATAAATCTCTTTAAATAATTCAATTTTTTGTAAGAGAGATGAACTAAAAAATGCCCATAGAAAATGCACCGAGTCTTAGTTCACGTAAAATCTCATAGATGGCAGCCAGCTCGAAATTTTCAGTGTGTCAATTACAATTACAAAGCATGTATTGTGAGTTATAGTATTATAATTATCAAACAAACACAAATTAGCTGGCTAATGTAAGATTTAATGCTTGCTTATAATAATTCAATTTTATCTTTATATATATATATATCTGCCCGAAGAAAGAAATGCTATTTAACGTGCAGGAAAAACCTTCATCGCTACTGGTGTATGAATAACATTTATATTAATAGCTATATAGTTAGGGAAGCACTTGGGAAACAATGTATAAGGTATAATATATGTTATTTAAATGTTTTATAACATTTAATTATCTAACTTTAAGTCCACTTTCTACAAGTCTTTTATCTTCATATTACATGTTCCCCTGTGGTACAGCGGTATGCACGCGGACTTCCTACGCTAGAAACCGGGTTTTGATACCCGTGGTGGGTAGAGCAGAGATAGCCCATTGTGTAGCTTTGTGCTTAAATTCAAACAAACCATATTGTATTTATTAACCCTAAATGATATTGAAAAACACGATGATTTTAATACGCAAAACGCAACCACAAAAAATAATATTTTATAACTATTATCAATTCACGTAAATTAATTGCTGTAATTCGATCATTTCCCTTTCTTCATACAAAGCTTGTATTGTTAATTGTAGTATTCCAATTATCAGAACCAACACAAGTAATTATTCATTACAAAATCTTTTATAATATTTATTCTGATATTTCACAATACGGTCTTTTATTTTGTTATCACTGATGATAATACAGCCAGTGAAAGAATAATTGGCTCTCTTAATGAGCTGTGAGACAATCTTGACATTTGTTTCAAATCCTAACATTTTGCATTGTCATTTAACTCACCCAATACAGAATGTGTGTATACGTATGACATGCCTTATTTACCTTATGTTTTTACTGTCAGACTAAACGGTCAGATGTGAGACCTCTGGTATTCCGATATAACTATCCTTAATTTTCAACTACTGACCATAGAAAAGGCAACCAGCTAGCAGCACATACCGCCATAGTGGTATTGTCCGGCTTTTCTTGAACCGAATAGCGAAACTGACTGTCGTTTTTATAACGCAACCTCAGCTTCCTTCTTCAAATGGCCCGGCATGGCAATCTGCTGATCGCGGGTTCGAACCCCCGTCACACCAAACATGCTCGCCCTTTCAGCCGTGGGGGGGGGGGTTATAATGTTTCGGTCAATCCCACTATTCGTTGGTAAAAGAGTAGCCCAAGAGTTGGCGGTGGGTGGTGATGACTAGCTAAATTAGGGACGGCTAGCGCAGC